ACCTGGACCAAGAATGAGGAACGCGATCTCTTCGGACCCGCCCCTCGCCCCTCCCCCCTCTCCCTCTCCCCTTCCCTCCCCCCTCCCTCCCTCGCCTCTCCCCTTCCCTCCCTTCGTCGTCCCCTGTCTCCACTTGCATCCACCTAACTCACTCTTTCCTCCTTACTTTCTTTCTCTCTCTTTGCCTTTTCTCGCTGAGGATGCGAGAGAGAGAGAGAGAGAGAGAGAGAGAGAGAGAGAGAGAGAGAGAGAGAGAGAGAGAGAGAGAGAGAGAGAGAGAGAGAGAGAGAACGAGAGAGAGAACGAGAGAGAGAGAGCGAGAGAGAGCGAGAGAGAGCGAGAGAGAGCGAGAGAGAGCGAGAGAGAGCGAGAGAGAGAGAGAGAGAGAGAGAGAGAGAGAGAGAGAGAGAGAGAGAGAGAGAGAGAGAGAGAGAGAGAGAGAGAGAGAGAGAGAGAGAGAGAGAGAGAGACAGACGACGACAGGATAAAAAAAATAAAAAAAATCAACAAAAGAACCCCCCCCTCCAAAAAAAAAAGGCAAAAACGAGAAAAACAAACCTCGCACTCGAACGAACATACGAACAACCAACCAAACAAACAAACAGACAGACAGACGGAGAGCAAGCGAGCGAGCACACCGTAAATACGATTAATCAAGACCTTTAATCCCCCCGCTTTGAAGGCCCTCCCCGCGCCGCCCGAATCAAAGGTAACACTCAGCGCCCCAGTTCATAGACCAATTTCTCGGCCGTTATGACCTGTCACGTCCACTCCCCGCGCACGCCCCGCCGCGGCCGCCACAGGGGAAGGGCCGGGGGAGCGGGGGAGGAGGAAGAAGAAGGAAGGAGGTAGAGGAAGAGGGGGAGGAGGGGGGAAAGGAAGCAGGAAGGAGGTAGAGGTAGAAGTAGAGGAGGAGGAGGAGGAGGATGAGGAGGAGGAGGAGGAGGAGGAGGAGGAGGAAGCAGGAAGGATTTAGAGAAGGAGGAAGGGGGAAGGACGAAGAGGAGGAAAAGGAGGAAGAGGAGGAGGAGGAACAAGGAAGAGAAGGAGGAGGAGGAGGAACCAGGAAGGAGGTAGAGAAGAAAGAGGAAGGGGGAAGGAGGAAGAGGAGGAGGAGGAAGGAGGAAGGAGGAGAAGGAGGAGGAGGAAGAGAAGGAGGAAAGAGGAAGAAGGAGGAGGAAGAGAAGGAGGAAGGAGTAAGGAGGACGAGGAGGAGGAGGAGGAGGAGGGTGGGGAGAGGGAGACGTCGCCGTTCATTTGCAAAGCCAATTAATTCCGGAGCCCCGGACCAAACGCGATTACCTCCGCGTCAACAAATATGCGTTTGAATAATAATAATAATAATAATCATAATAATAATAACCTAAACGCGCCAGGGATTTTATTTCTACGCGCGCCAGTCGATGAGCGCCGAAGCATACATGTGTAAATAAATAACCTAATTAATAATGCTTCATATGTTCAGAAATACGGAGGGAGGGAGGGAGGCAGGGAGGGAGGGAGTGAGGGAGAGGGAGAGAGTGAGTGATAGAGATAGAGAGAGAGAGAGAGAGAGAGAGAGAGAGAGAGAGAGAGAGAGAGAGAGAGAGAGAGAGAGAGAGAGAGAGAGAGAGACCGAGAACCTAAAAGACTTCGACTGCTCTTAATTACTAATCACGAGGCACGCCCTTTTTTCCCCAAAACTTGATGACACGCGGCGCTGATTAAAGCCGAGTGAAGTGTGAAACCAATCAATAATCACGAGAACAGGGAACAGAAGTAAGAAAACAAACAAATCAAAAATCTGTTTAAAATAATATGAAACCAAAAAAAAAGAAAATGAATAAGAAACAAGGAAAAATATAAAGAAAGTAAATAGAAGGAAAATCAAAGACAAAAAAAAAAAAAAAAAAAAAAAAAAAAAAATCATAATCAAAATAAAAAATAAAAATAATTAAAAACTGAAGATAATTTTAAAAAGACAAGAAATAAGCGAAAATAAAAACAAAATGAAAAAAAAAATCGAAAATTCATCTCCCTCATCTCCCATCTCCCGGAGGCGAGAAACCCATCTGTCATCTCCCGCATCACATCCGGGAACTTCGCCTCCACGCAACTCATCTCACCCAAACTCGCCTAAACTTAATCTCCAAACTTTAAACTTAACTTGATCTATCTGAAATTAATGGTAACTTGGCGTAACATGCTATAAAATATGAATGATAATTTTCATGCAAAATTCAAGTTCCACTTCCCTTATATGTACGCAATTCATGCAAAGCTCAGTGCAACATAAGATTAACTTAATCTAGCCCAAAACCTACCCTAACTTGACCTAATCTTGACCTCTGCCAGAAATCCCCCCCCCCTTAATCTTCTGAAAAAGAGCACGACCTTTTTCTAGCTGACACCTGCCCCCCCCCCCACCACCACCAACCCCATCCCCGCGCCCCCCCGAAATCAATCACGACACCGCCCTAGAACGACAATGAATTGACACGACCTGACACAGACAAGACGTTTGGGTTCCGTGACATAACCACATGACCCTCCCCAACCCCCCCGACGACGACATTTCTTTTCTCACATTTCTTTTTTTTT